ATATTTTAGATTTTTTATATTTAAAATGAGATGTTTATCCTGTATTTGATTGTGTTTATCTGCAGTTAGTTACACGAATTCAGTTATGGGATGAAATCGGATAGGGATAAAATTGTTTAGGGATGAACGAGTTTAAGAGTTTAAGAGTTTTTAAGAGTTTTAGCCAAATGCTTTATAATATAGTATAGATTTAATTTAGATTTATTAACAAAGAAATTTAATTTAAGTTTAATAATATAATTTTTATATAAATAATAACTAAGTATTTTGTTAGAACTCAATGATTATTCTAATTATATTTTATATTTTTATATTCAAAATAAGATGTTTATCTAATATTTGATTATATTTATCTGCAGTTAGTTACATGAATTCAAATATGGAGCTTTAATAAGTTGTAGTTAAACACAATTTACTTGTAATCTTAAATTTTAAGTAATATGCATCTATAAACAGTATATCATGCATAAAAAATGGTCTTTTAATGTTTTTGTCAAATGCTTTATAATAAAACATAAATTATAGATAAACCGTCAAATCATGATAATACCCACCGACATGAATTGATCCCGTGTCCGACCCAATTTAAACATTTTGGGCCCACGCAAGCCCAATATGAAAACATAATGGATGAACCTTGCTAAGCTTTAAATTCGATACAAATTATTTCGATAATAATTATTTATTTTTTAAACCAATTTGTTTTATTTGTGTACATTTCAATAATAATTAAATGTTAAGTTTTATACATTTAAGTGCCTGGGTAACTGGTTGAAACCTAATTTTAGATTTAAAAAAATCTATGTCACTAACCACGACAGCAAATAATACTGAGTTGAATATCACATTACTTACCACATCAACATGATAACTGGCTAATGTTTCAACCGTTTACACGAAAACTTAAATGTTTAAAACTTTACATCTTAGATACCAAAATGAAAGTTCTGAAAGATATGTTACTTATGAATCAAGTTAAATTACATTAAATTTTTCATACAATTTGCTTAAATGTTACTGGTCCATTATATATATATTTTTAAAATTGATATAAATTAATTATACGAGATTGTCAATAAATCCAAACCATCCGATCAACAAGATCAACGGCCGGAAACATCTACAAGTCTACGACAACAATCAATGCGTACCGTTACACTGCACTGCGTAACAGGTAACAAAACCCCACCATCTATAGCTGTACGTTTCTTTATTTATTATTTTAATTCTTTTCCCTGTTAGCTGTAGCGACTTACTGATTTCCACGTGGCACCCTACCACTTTTCTCTTATGGACTCCAAAATCGTTTCTAAACTAAAATTCATAAAACCATTTCAAGTCCGCTTATAAGAGAAAAAGAATAAATTACGATTTATGTCCTTATGGTTTCTTAATAATTTTGATTTTTGTTCTTATAATTTATAAATTACAATTTTAGTCCTTATAATTTATAATTCATTGTTTATTTTCATCCATAAATTATTGGGACAGATGAATAATATGATGGTTTTCTGAAATCACAATTGCATGGATTCTTGTTTGAATCGTGTATATCACTTTTCGGATCAGATATTTCGACCCTAAAGCCTTGTGTTGCACGAAATTCTGAATATGAGATAATCCAATAAAATACAATTTAATCTTTTAGGCACATAAATTAGATTAAGTTACTGTTTGTTTTTTTAATATTCTAAATCTGCCAATTCCAGAGCCAAAAACGAAGGTTCTATACAGAAAATAAGATAAGATCAAACAGTTAATGAATGTTCCGCAGTTAACGATCCCTCGCCTGGGGCGCTGCCCCTTAGACCCAGCAAGGGGGCGTGTCCCCCTTGACCCCCGCATTTTGGTGGTACCGAGATCAATCTAGTCTTATACAAGTGTGTGATCTGCACCTCTTATCTTGCATAAAAAACTAAGTAGAGATACCCTTTAACTATCGTATATTTACCCCTTCCAGCAAATAAAACCGATGACACTAAAATCACCAACATAAATTAGTCTTTCGTACCCTGAAAATGACAGAACAAAACAAAATAGGAGTTATTGTTCCACATATAGAACATAGAAAAACATAGTGGAACAAACGGGTTCCATCCCATCAGACTTATATTTTTGTCAATATAACATCAAAATAAAACTCAATTATCTTCTAAAATATCAAATACCCTTTTAAATTTTATTTATCGTATTTTATGTTTTTTAAAATTTTACTTTATTGTTCTTAAAATATTATTTTTATACGGTTTCTATATTTTGGTTAATTTATGTAATTTATTATATAATAACAAT